GAAAGAAGGTTTGTTTATATTATGGTTTTGTAAACATATTTTTGTTATAGGCGCCTCTTCCGTGCTCCTTCAGGTGCAGCATGTCCAGACACTGAGCCGGAAGGACTTCATTGGAGCGCCCGCCGTGTGCAATGGTGGGTGCTCTGATGATGTCCTCAGGAAGGGGTTGGGGTGCCCGGCGTCCAGCTGCCCCATTCCTTCTTGGGATTGAAGATGGCGCTAAAGTCTTTTGACATCTTATTGACTCACAGTTATGTTATGAAGGTTTAGGCCTTTGTGGACCCAGATGCATTAAGTATCATCCTCAACATGCAGGAATGTAGAGGCAGATTGGATAGGAAAATAAAGTTGTAAATATGTGAGATCAGAGGGAATTTAAATGGAGAAAGTAAGGCAGTGAGAATTGCTTGACAAATGACCAAACATAAAACAAGAGTTCATGTATTTTCACTATAAAACACACTCCACTTCTGCATAATTCTTGTAATAAGAGGCAGGAATTCTCTATGTCTTACAAAGTCTAATAATCCTTTCATACCACATTATTAAAGGGCTATGATTCCACTTTAACTGACATGGCATCATCCTATAGAATTCTGGGATCTGCAGTTTAGGGAAAGGTATTTAGTATTCTCTGCCGGGGGCTTTAGTGCCTCACCAAACATTCTTTAATGTCAGTATAAGATACATTTTGGAGCAGAGTTCTATGGCAACAGGAAAATGGAAGGCAAAGTTCTCTCTCTGTCACCATAGAAAGCTGCCCATTTCAAGTAGCAAGTAGAGCAACTTCTCCTCTTGACAGAGCTTTCTCTGCCGTATCCCCTATTGCCATGGCACCTGTACTAGTTTTATCTCCACCACTAAGCCAAACACCTATGCTAGCACCACCACTTATGTTGGCATAAATACACCGGCCAACAGCATTGTGGCCAGAACTTTTGGACTACAAACCCCAGAATCCCCCAGCCAGCATAGCAGTTTTAATCCAAAAAGTTGGTTTCCCATGTTCTGTTTGTAATGCATTTTCTTTTACATCACTGTTTACTTCTAGTTCTATCAAACCACTAGAGGGACCTAAAGTCCATCTAAAACACTTTTATGTCTCATGATGATGTTTTCAAAGTCCTTATATAAAAGTAACTGATTTTCCCCTTCCTCCTGTGTCTGACCTACCATGTGTGAGATGTAATTTGAGGTGTAACATTAAATAAACAATGTTGGAGGGAAAAACAACAATTGTGTTAGCAGGACTGAAATACAAGACAAACAAGTACTCATTACCTCCTGGCTCATGTAATCCTCCCAAAAAGATTATATCAACAGAGTTGTTCAGGTCAGCTTTGCCCTAAAGCATTAAACCTCACATTATGGTCAGCTTGACCATGTCTTATCTTGGATTTATACCTGATGAATAACAGAATGGAAAATGCAAACAAATGGCTTGTTGTTGTGTGCCTTCACGTCATTTTCGATTTATGGCAATCCCAAGGCATGGGGTTTTCTTGGCAGTATTTGTTCCGTTTGCCATTGCCTTCCCCTGATAAGCTTATCACACAACACTTAAGGAATGGGAATGGAAAGGAATGGAGTGGGGCAAAAATGCATTTTACTGGACAGGAGAATGCTGCCGGGAGTCCGCAAGGCGTTTCCCAGCCGTTCCTGGCAGCTGATTTTTGAAGGACGGTTCAAAATCGTCCTTCAAAAATCAGCTGCCAGGAATGGCTGGGGAATGCCTTGAGGGACCCCTGGCAGCATCGGTGGCGTTCTCCTGTCCAGTAAAATGCATTTTTGCCTCATTCCATTCCTTTCTGTTCCTGTTCCTGTAAGTGCTGTGTGATAAGCTTAATAGTCTGAGAGTATGTGACTTGCCCAAGGTCACCCAGTGGATTTTATGGCTGGGCTGGGAATTGAACCCTGGTCTCCTGGGTTATAGTCCAACACTCAAACCACTATGCCACACTAGCTCTCTTATTAATGTGAAATGAATGTTCATGCTCACGAAACATTCCTGCCAGAAAAACAGACATATAGAAATGAGAATGTGTAGATTTTAAAGCTGGATCAACTATTAGTCCAGTTTAGAGTAGCCATATGGAAATCCATGGGATCTTCATTACTGATGACTAGCAAAGTCCCATTCAATTAATGTGTCTATTCTGACTAGGTCTTGATCCAATCCTGTGTTTACTAACAGCTGCATTCTCAAACTGGCCTCAAGTGCATATGATATGTATTTCTGTTCAAGATTTGAACTTCACTAACAGACACCCCCTTTTTAAACAAACAAACAAACAAACAAACAAACAAACAACACCTTTTTCTTCAAATGATTTTTATATAGGCTTTCTAATTTATTGTATCCCTTCACTGCCTTGCTGGGCATAATCTTCTCCTGTTAAATAAGAATGAATATTGTTCAGTTTAGAATGTCGACATAATAGGCAAAGGATGTAAGATGCCAGGGAGAAAGTTGATGTTATTTTTGCTTTTTTGCTGGTAAGAGAGCACAAGATTTCAGGCTCTGTGAGGCATAAACAGCTTTGGTATAGCTGATGATTTGTTAGTGCCAGCTTTTTTGTGGTACAGCAGCTCCAGAGGGAGAACTTGAGACAAGATAACATGCTTTGCCAGGGGATACTGAGTGGCATCTCCAGCTCTCCCTTGAAAAGCAGACAGTGTGGAAACTAATCAGGAATGATGAAAGCAGAAAGGTTTGCTGAGCTTCACAGCAGCTGATGCCATTGTTATAGCTCATGGACATAGATGCTGGCTCCTTTTGGCAGTTTGAATGCTACCATGTCCCTCTTGACAGTCTGAATTCTGCTTCATCAAGAATGACACAAGGACCAATATATCGTTTTCGTACCATTTTTTTTTAAGAGGAGGGGGATTGACCTGTAGCAATGAAGCACAGGAAAAAGAATGCAAAGTTTGTCAAGGCTGGTACCAGACATTTTACTAGTTGATGGAAAGGACAAGATGGTGATGATTCACCCTATTTCACATGTAGAGGCCAACTGGATTGGCATTAGATGTTATTTCACTGCTACTGATGGGGTGGCATCCCTCATGGCTTTGTGAAAGCTGTCCAGGGTGTGTGGCACAGTACTCTAAGGCCTGTGGGATGAGAAACCAGGGAGATGGTGCTGCTGCCCCTCAGCATCTCCCATTGTAATATGTAGGCTAGCATCAGTTCTGAAACACAAGCTTTCAGCAGATTCAGAAAAGCTTTATTCAGCAAGCAGAACTGATGAGAGCACATAATTAAGTTATCAGTATACTTAGGGGCTGTACAGTAAGTATACTTAGGGGCCCTGGCAGTGCCAGTTCGAGGCTGCAGCAACCACACACCATGGCCTCAATCCAGCTTTTTGCTACTCCAAAAAGAGCTGGCAAATACCGCTCCTTTTTGGGACAGCAAAAAGCTGTCCGCAGTGCCGCCACCATGGCTCTTTTGTGCCCTTTTGGTGCAGCATGTCTACACGCTGCACTAATGGGGCACCCTGACACCACAGTGGGGTGTGCAGCGTGACGATGGCATCGGGGCAGAGTTGGGGTAACTGGCTTGTGGTCACCCCACCCTAACTCCACTTCCAGGCCGGCCCTTTTGGCCAGTCTGCATAGGCCCTTAGAGTCCAAACAATTCACCCATTACAAAAGACTTCATCCCATTTGTCAGCAACTGAAAGCATACTGTCTTCTCAAGTCTTATTCCTTCTTCTTTCCCCCTATACACAGTCACAGCTTCCCAAAAGAACGACCTTGGTAATTTATTAGAAATACAAGTCCTACAAAACCCAAATCTGGAGGAGGCCCAGGAGAAGGCCCAGAACAAGTAGGCTTTGAGGACTTTGTTGATCTCTGGTATGGATGTGGCTTTGGTTGGTAGTGAATTCCAGGGACATCTCTCTGAATGCTTGTTATGTTTCCTTTAAACAATAACTAAAAAGAGGACAGTTTTGATATATTTTGTTTAGGGCAAAGAGGTTGCAATCCTATGTACACCTGCTTGAGAGCAATATCCGTTGAACTCAATAGCACTTGGTTCTGAGTAGACCCACTTAGGCTTGCTTTATGGATCTTTCCAAACAAGTCATTTTAAAGATTAATTTAGAGCAGAATGTGCTAAAAAGCTGAATATTAATATTGTGCATCTTTATAGAATGAATATGTATGCAATTCAGTAGCTTTTCTCTCTTTTGGAACACATTTCTTTGTGCTGTATTTTCTTAATATGATGATTTCTGAAGGGAAGAGGGGCAAGGATTAGAAAATAGGATTACCCTAGTAGCTTTCCCCCATTTTTTTTTTCCTGAGGTACTTTTGTGTTTCAGGTGGCAATGCAGATATAATTAAGGATGTGCAGTTGCTCAGAAGATTATTAAATGTGGCTTTAAAACTGCAGTTATAGCAGTAAAATAGCACCTTTGGCAATACTTATCACATGACACCCCTCAAACCCATAGCTGCTGTGTCTCCCAAGAATGGTTAGGACATCCTTTTCATTGATGGGGAAAACCTATCAGTAAGCTCCCAATTGCATGGCAGTCCCATTAATCCCCATGTGTGAAACATTGCAGCAGTTGCAGTATTGGCAGTCACATGGTGTCAATGTCTCATTCTTTCCTTCTGTTCCCCCTTCTCCTCATCATTCCCAAGAAGCCAGATTTCATTTATTTATTTTTTCTATTTGTTTTCTTTTTTTTTCTTTTCGAACTTAAATTGCATTAGCCGAAAAACAGAAAATTGGGTTAAAAAGTAAAAGACATGCTGGGTAGGGCATCAGGTAGGGACAAAATGGTATGCTCACATTTTCTTTAACAAGCACAACTGAGGTGAGACCAGAGATTGTATGATAATTTCCACAGTCCCAAATTGGCTGGGTTTCTTGAAAGTCTGCATTTTTGTACACATTTTTCTGTTCACCATAGATATTTTTAAGGCATGTATTTATAGCCATAAATATGATACAAATATGTGCATGCTTTTTGCATTTTAATTTTCAAAAATGAACAGCAAGATTTGAAGATGGGAACATTTCTTGGGCAAGGTGTGTTTTGTCTCAGAACAGAAGGTGTGAGAATTTTTTGCAGAGAAACTCAAAACCAAGAAAACACTTTCTTTTCTATAGACATGGTTTAAAACAACCTGTTCTGAACACAGTGAAAAGCAGCATAGTTGTAGACTGGACCTTTTACAGTAGCTGCTGAGTAAGAATTCAGTTGAAACATTGTTTGACATGTTTTGTAATCCTGTTTGCAGTGAGTGCATTTACAGACATTATTTATTACATGTACTTTGTCTTACCTTAATTGGCTGTGTTATTTTTATCAATAAATTATGGTTGTATTTTAGTATAGCTCTAGCTACTATTCTTTCACTCCTCATCCCTTCAGGTTAGATTACAGAAGCTGTTTCAGGCATCAGGGATAATTTTTCCTTCTTGATTGGAACTGTTGAACATATGTCTGGTATGTAGGCACACCACCTATGTCAAGGAAAAGATAAAAACCTTATATATCTAGGTCTGCTGTTAGCGTTCTAGTGTACCTGTCTAGCTGGACAATCTAGAGAAATTCAAGAGATGCTCCCTTTTCTGTCATGGGATTTGTAGTTTGTTGTGGCATGCGAGCTCTCTGACAGATAAGGCAAAATAGCTCACAAAACTACAAACCCCAGAATTCCATAGTATTGAGCCATGGTGGTTAAAGCTTTGTTAAATTGCTTTATTTCTGCAGTGCAGATGCAGCCTGAGTCTCTAAAATGCAAGAACATAGGAAGCTGCCTTATACTACATGAGACTATTGGTCATCTAGTCAAATATTGGTAGAATTCAAAGATATAGCCATGTTAGTTTGCAGAATCATATGCATTTGAGGAAGCAGACTTTAGTCTACGAAAGCTCATGTTGACAACTTCTTTCTTTCAGTTAGGGCCTTTGCAGACTGCCAGAAATACTGCAAATTGAGGCCACTTTAACTGCCCTGACTCAGTGCTAAGGTATCATGGGAACTGTAGTTTATTGTGGCACCAGAGCTCTCTGGCAGAGAAAGCTCAATGTCCCAGAAAAAAATAAAATTCCCATGATTCTCTAGCATTGAGCCAGGGCAGTTAAAGTGGACTCAATTTGCACTATTTCTGGCACTCTGCTAAGGCCCTTTAGTCTCAAAGGTGCTACAAGATCTCTCTACATAGATGAATATTGTCAACTTTGACTAAAAGCATTGGTTCACGAAGGATTCTTTGTTAGCTGACATGGTGACCATTGGTAGTTAGGGATGCAATTCTTCATCAAGTTTCTTTTAAAATGAAGCAACAGATAATTTGAACAATTTTCTTTCCACTGCAAGAAAGTCTTTGAAAAACCACACAGCTTTCAAAATCTATTCATAATTTGTGCCAAAGATGCTTTTTCCTGCACAGAAAATGCTGTTTCCTATGCAAAACAACCACATGCAAATGTTGTGCAGAATAAGCCCCTAACTATGAAGATTCACATCAGTCCAAAATTTCTCATCACTAAAAAACAAAAAAATGTTTTCCAACAATTTTTCAAATATGTTTGAGTATACTTTCCTTCCCTATTTGTACCCCACAGTTTCTTCTTTTCTAAATACTAACCAGACCGCATTGCTGTTAATGCTGCTTTCATCTCCCTTGCACTTTTAGTTTCCTTTATTTTCATAATTATTGTAACTTTTGGTTGCCAGAGCTGACTCTTCAAGGAAGAGTGCAGCCTTCTTAAGCTGCTAGGAAACACCACATGCTGCCATGGCAACCTGACCATCCACTTTAAGCAATGAAATGTAGATGCCACCCCCTCTCCCTGCAGGACTGTGTACTGAGCTGACTGGAACAGGGCAGGGGACTGCACCATTAATGATGGGAAGTTGCCACTAAGGTTGGTATTTATGATGTCATAAGGGACTTGCAACACTGCAAATACTGGGATTCATGTTTATGG